TCAACACGTTTCAGAAATGAAAATTTAGTTGGGAGATAACGCGCGTTCTGTCCTCCTCTTTGGTCCGTGTGTTCTTTAGGCGCTATGGCTTCAGTTAATGCTAGGAAGTCGATTGTTCCGCATCGAGTTAAGTTACATATTGGATGCACTTGAAATGGGAACAACGCTATCTTAAGATAAGGGTTGATAAACTCGAAATAATTAGTGCATAATAATTGAATTAGGTTCACTGGAAACGCAGATGCTTTTTCTTGTGAACAGCTGGGATCATGGTCGCACATGCCGGAACCGATCCCAATCACGCGCGTCTTTCTAGCTGGCCTCTGAGATCCGTTTCGACAGCTCCTGAACCACAAGGCCAACTGGAGGAATATACACCAGTTGTACTACACGTTCGCCGACGTGCGAGTTTCGCTTCCCGAAACCCAAGTTAGAGATTAGGATTACATGGATATTATTTTTTAAGTACGTTTGCCACGGAGGACAGTTCATTTCTCCGTGCTGTAGATTTATGATAAAATATACACGCACAGGCGCGTTCAATGTGACTTGCAACACGGGAACGCATGGCCTTACGAGTTAAAAGTTTGCGCATGGCTTCAACTTGTTTTTATTTCAACAAATAAAAAAAATGTTACTTTCATAATTTGGGATCGCACTCAATTGAGAGACACGCGTTTAGTAATGGAAGCAAGGGCCGGTGGAAGCCACGCGCAATTTTTGAACTCGTGAGGTGACAAGCTCCCATGTTGCAACTTGCAAGTCATATTGAGCGTGACTGTATTCTTGCGAAACCTTGTGAAGCCTCGTCAGTAATAGCAAGCCTGCACGTTATGCGAGCACGTTCAAGAACCCCAGGTGGTCGAAATTCCCGGAGCCCTCCACTACGGCGTCTCTCATAATCATAGGGTGGTTTTGGGACGTCAAAGCCCATACACCAATCAATCAATCAATCAATCAATCAATCAATCAATCAATCAATCAATCAATCAATCAATCAATCACGTTATGCGACCATCCTGAACGTTCAATCGCCGGATCGCTACTCCATATACACTGCCAAATTCTGCCGCGTTAGATTCGGTAATGGAGACATCTTTAAGCCAGTCAACCGCGCCGCAGCAACGCTCTGGGCCAATGGCAACTGACAAGATAGCAAACCAGATAACGTGGTGGAAGGCGACAGGGTCTAGATAAGCAGCCAAAATTTACGTAGCACCTCGAGCTTCTTCAAGCCCCATTCGATGGGATACGACCGGGCTAAAGATGAGACCCAATACCTCAAAGCAGATTTACAACCGCTGTCAATGCAACCGAATCACTGGCTATTCGGTTACTGAAGGAACTACTAGTTTGAAGACTATAGAGGATGGTTTCTTTTTCGCCCTCAATATATACCCTTTCTGCGAATGCTATCTTCTTATTGCCAATTATTTCTTCATAAAGCACGCTGACGATGTCAGAGCTGTGAGTCGAGCTAATCAGGATTTCACGATTTTCGGCTAGACACTCCTATGACCACTTGCACTCCTATCACATTGCATGACAAAGCTGGGACAGGTCACAATTTGCGTCAGCCGTATATGAACCGACCGAGAGCTCAAATATCCTCGTGACGTCACGAGAACAGACTACTGGCATAATTAAAGGGACACTAAAGAGCAAAACATTTTTACGCGTATTAGTGAAGTACTATTTTACAATCCCGCAAACACGACTCTTACCGCGAAGCGACACTCGGTGAGCAAGGAAACGGGCGAACACAAAACGGACGTGGTGACGCCACTTTGGGATTCCCGCACCAAGAACCGTGACGTCATAGATTTCTAAGACGTCTACTGGATCCTTCGTAGCCTCTAACCAATAAAAAATACAGTACATTGTGATCAGGGGGTGATATAGACCTAGACTGCGAAGTTTCAGAAAATTTCATCGAGCCAGTGTGGCAAGAATACCAAGAATACATTTTGAAGCTATCGACGTCACACGCAGCAATTTTGGCGCGAAGTTTAAAAATGAAACTTCGGTCCTCATTTTCTTCCTTAATAATGAACTCATGATAGGGAAACATAGGACATTAGAGATCTCTCAAAGTGCAGTTTGTCACTTTCAACGAAGTCATTGTTTTTTTCTTCTGTAGTGCCCCTTTAGTTGCATGAAAACAACGGAAAACGCCACGCAGTATAGAATAAACACAATCGTACTTCGTATTTTCAAACGTTGATCGGGCCTCTTTAACACAGGATTTCATACATTAGATACCAACAACGTCGCAGAATCTAACTCATGCAGCGTTTCACTCATATTATCCAAAAAGTTATCACAAGTGTAATCAGTAATGATGCCGGCTGTCGGAAGCATATTCAGCGTCTGAAGCTTATTTCTTTGGCCTGTTGCTACAACGTGTTGTCAACCACTCACCGGGGGCAGACGTCAAGGACCGAGCACTTCAGAAAGCCAGAAACTCAATACTCAGCCACACGACCTGCGCGCTGTTAAACCACGAGTAAACTGCCTTACACGATAAGACGTTGCTTTTTAAAACACCGAAGACCCGGTTTTGAAACACGGGATGCCAGAAAAACACGACATGCCTGGATTCCATCTTGGGGCGTGCACACACATTTTTTTTTATCCATCGTATAAGAGACGTATCTCTCCGCAATCTGGGTGTCTACACGTGTCCCTACTGAGGTGACGCAACCAACTCTCTTGGCATATCGTGTCAGGCTCAACAGGCTCATTTTGTACATGAAATATTGCGTACGCAAACATGAACGCGTAGTAACTGTGATTTTCGTCACCGCTACAGCTGTGCTCGACCCCTTCTTTCTTCGGCACGCGCTTTCTGAGCCTATAAGTGACTCACCAAGACAAACTTGCAGACGATACTCGAGATGAGTTCTAGGACCTGTGAAATAGCTTGGGCGTTTTCGTTTAGCCGTGTACTCGCCGTGGATATCAGGCACACTGAAGCAACACATGTAGCCAAGCATAACGGCGTCATGATTTCCCTATGGATATTTCAATAAACGTTATTGTCGCCGACTCACTGTCACAGTCGTCTGCTGCTTCAATTTTGTGATGCTGTATCTCGCTTTATTTATACGCAGTTTTCAGGGGTGGATAACCTTATAGGATGTCCGCTTTGGGTCACTTTGTCGACATGCATGGTCTCGATTGATTTGGTTGATATGTGGGGTTTAACGTTCCATGATTATGAGAGACGCTGTGGAGGAGGGCTCCGGAAATTTCGACCACCTGGGGTTCTTGCAACCAAATCACCCAAATCTGAACACACTGGCCTAGAGCACTTTCGCCTTCCATCGAAAAATGTAACCGCCGCAGCCGGGATTCGATATCCCATGGCCTGCGGCTCAGTAGCCGAGTACCTTAGCCACTAGACCAACGCAGTAGGGCGTCGCCGTGGTCTCGGCGTCTCACGTTGTTGTCGCGGTCCATCATAAATAAGTATGTGTCACCAAACTTGGGTAAATCTCACCGCTGGTCCATACCCTGCACATTATGAGCTAAAGTTTCGTCCTTACTGTTTGAAACATACTGATCGGCTTCCGCGTTGGGATACCGTGCGAACATATATGAAGTTTTTATCATCATCATCATCATCATAATCATCATAATCATCATCATCATCACCATCATCATACTGTTCAGCCTAGCAGTGATGTCAGCATCTCCAACTAAATTTTCCAAAGCGCTCAAGTTGCTTATCTAAAACCAGACACAAATACGCATATCTACGGCAAAGGCACCTATCTGGAATACCTCATCTTAAAACGTATGAACAATGTGATAGTAGCTTAGTGGATTTGAAGTGAGTAAAGCAGTAAGGAGGAAAAATTTTGTTGTGCACGACGGTAGACGAGCTTTGCCGGTGGACAAGCTACGCCTGCGCGTGAAAGCTGCGCTTAGAGAATTACTGAGATAAGGAAAGCATCACTGTAATATCTAAAGGCTGTTCATTGCAAAATATGGCCATATTACACAGGGGAACTTTTTGCGGCGAATTTCGCACAGGGTTGCTAGTTCTTGTTCACCTTCTACTGTGATTCACACCCACTGTGAGGGATTGACCGCGACTGAGTGCTCTTATAAAGTCTTATGAAATTTTAGAACAATGAAAATCATAGAATAAACACATCACAAATGTTATATGAAATTTCGTGCTTACTCTAATGTACAAAAAATAGACCTTGTTTTATTAGTAATCGATAATAAATTAAATCAACCTTTATGCCCCCCCCCCCTCAGTAAACGTTATGCATGTATCGACACAGAAGGTTAATCCTTTAGATTAGTTGAATAAGCATTTAGTTTCGTTAAGATAATTCCGCACAGCCACGCAAAAATTCGCACTGGAGGACCCAGAAATAGACGCTCGAAAAAGCAATATAGCGAGTACAGATCAATTCATCCCTATAGAACGAATTGTCTTTTTACCTTTAGGATGACTGCCAGTTGGGCGTGTTGGTAAAGGTTCATGATGAAACAAGCGCAGAAATACACACACTCAGAGAGGACACAGACAAGCGCTTACTAGCAACTGGAAATTTTATTTCGAAGCGAACACTAATAAATACATCACACGCATGTACGTCATTCCCGACCTCCCATGTCATCATCAACAACGTGATACAACAAGATATGCACGCGCCCACAACCGGAAACAAACACGTGTCAAGAACTAAGAAAAGAAAACGTAAAACAGAAAAAAACAACAGCAGTAGAAAGGCTAGTCAACAAGAAAGGAACTGGAGAATCGAACAAATGTAGCATAAAGCACGGCAGGAGGTACGTTGAGTGCAAAAAAGATGTTGTATACGGAACTCCTTTCACATGTGGAAAGGAATGCCTTGGTCATACGGGTCGGTGCATAAATGTGCGCCTTCGTGAACATGACAGTTCACTAAAGGGGGCCCCTTACTCACACTTAGCGATGCACTGCAAGGAGTGCACCTGCCAACCGAAATTTTCCGACACACGAATAATTGACAGGCACAACAAGCAAACGACGAGAGAAATAATGGAAGCGTATAGAATAAGGAAAGGAGGGGACAGTTGCGTCAGTCAAACGTCAGTTCTACTAACAGATGCGGAATTTGCTTTTTTGGACGTCGCATAACCCAGAGTTCTTCTCTGTGTTACGTTTTTTGTTTTTTTTGTTTCTACGTTTTTTTGTTTTTTTTTCTGTTTTACGTTTTCTTTTCTTAGTTCTTTACACGTGTTTGTTTCCGGTTGTGGGCGCATGCATATTTTGTTATATCACGTTGTTGATGATGACATGGGAAATCGGGAATGACGTACATGTGTGTGATGTATTTATTAGTGTTCGCTTCGAAATAAAATTTTCAGTTGCTAGTAAGCGCTTGTCTGTGTCCTCTCTGAGTGTGTGTATTTCTGCGCTTGTTTCATCATGAGTCTTTCTACCTGGCTTTTTCGAACTTTAGTAAATCGCCTACAGCGACTTACTAATTTTCGCGTTCTCGTCGCATCTCGGGATTTCGCCTTAAATGGTACTAAGGACAAAACGATTGTTTGCGTATTAGTGACGAACGATTTCATCGATCCTGAAAACACCGCTCTTACCGCGACACGATGCCCTTTAAGCGAGGAAACGCGCAAAAAGAAACTACGGGTCGAGACGCCACCTTGAGATTCCAGTGCTAAACACCGTGACGTCACAAATTTCGAAGGTGTGTACTAGGTCTTACGTAGCTTCTAATTATTATAGGTTTATCAGCGGCTATCAAAGACCTACCGAACGAAGTTTCAGGAAGTTTAATCCAGCCAGTGTCGCAAAAATACGAAATGACGTCACGCGGAGAGATTTCGGCGCCAAATTTTAAAATTAAACTGCAACCTCGTCCGTTTACAATGAACTTGTGATAGTGAATCGTGTGACATTAGAGTTCTCAGATTGAAGTTTTTGAATACAAACGAAGTCGTTGTTTCTCTACAGTGTAATTTCAAAAGTCGCGTGGTCTCATGCGCATTCACGGAAGACGACTCGAAGGCGGTAGCCATCTTTTTCTTCTTGCTTTTCATAGTCGAGTATACTGATGTTGTGTGGGGCGCACAGACTCGTCTTATCACAACTTCGTACAATGAAATCAGCAGAACGGACATAGGACGTGAGTTTTTCTCTTTTTTAGTTTATTTTCTTGGAGCCCTGTAAAATTCATGTATACTGTTTAAATTCCAACAATTAGCCCAGTGTTCCCCTGCTCCTCCGCGTGTTTTTGGTGCTTTGGAACGTAAACGTCGTGTCTGAAGCTTTGACATAAACGTACGCAGGACGATGTGAGCATCCACACAATCGGACACTTGTTTTCGTCTATAGAAATAAAGCTGTATTTCCCGGCTTTAGTTCTTTCCTTCGAGAAATTCCACGTTCACTTGTTCACGGCTTTATTGACTGCGGGAAACAATTGGTGAACAGTCTACGACTAAACAACGGGTAGTTCTTACCTGCAACTTGATCCCTGGTATAGCAACACTCGCAGTGAAGCAAGCCAGCTGATACTGCCCGCTTGGTGTCCCCGCAGAACTATATCGCCGTTGAAGAACTACCGATGGCACCATCGATTATACACTACTCATACGCATACCATTGTCGAGAGCTCCCTTTATAATTGATGTAGCATCGCGTGACCTGTTCAATGTTGCATGCTTTTAAGTTGGAACGTTCTGGCATCAAGTTCATACCACGAGCCACGTGTCGTATGTATACACGTACATATTTGACATGGCTGTAACAGTCGCAGTGCTTCAGGTTCAAAATACGACTCTTCAGTCGGGGTCATTCTTTCCGTTATGTTTCTCAAACACCTGGCTACAGCTACTCGGCGCCGTGGTGCCGAGCACGGACATTTGGGCATTGATGTCCTTTATACGAGCGGTACCAGGCGTTCGAAAAACAAAAAAAAAAGAATGTGACGCCCTGTCAGAATGCATTGTAAAGATGTAGGATAATTAACTAAGTGCCCACTCACTCAGGTTGCTCGAAACCCGCATTGAGGTTCTGTGTGTTCTCTGTCTGGTTGTAAACGCCTTGAGTGTTACCGTATTTGAGAATCGCATCTACATCCTTTATCTTTCATTATAGGAGCCCACCCGAACGCGAAAACTTTATTGCTAGCAGGGAAACACGAAAGTCGTTGTATCCTGTCAGTAGTTTAGACTATTTTTCGGATGGATTTCAGTGCCACCATACGGGGTTGTTAACCTTAAACCAGTTTTACGATGTATGCTTACACATGACAATGGTTGCGTCGGTGCGTACGATGTTTCATGGCCTTAGTACTTGGTATTCAAATATACAGACAATAAGGCGCTGGCTGAAAAGCTCAAAATGGCGGCGCCCATATTAAAAGTGAAGCTCATTAAGCCGTGGGTCGTGCGTCCTCGATGTATCTAGTTATAGGTATACCCACCTATCGTTTAGTTCTTGGAATGTCCGCCAGGTGGCGGTACTTGTGC